AGTGAACTTTATAGAATGCAACTGGAAATTGATATTCTACACTCAAAAACTTACAGTCTGGTATACTAGAGACTCAAAGTAAACTCTTTTTTCCTTCCTAAAATCAGGATCAGATCATCTACCCAATTGTACTCACACATACACACATACATACACACTTATTAATAGAATAATCAAAATCACTATCCTAATCAAGAAACATAATCCTATGTAGTCTTAGGATCCGAGTCAAAAATACATTTTCTAAATTACCTGGATAGTCATGTAAACTTCAGAGAAGTTAGTGTCAAGGCAGCTGGATTTGGATTATTTGGATTATTCCAAAGAGTGATCTTGGTGTGAAAGTAGCACTTGTACCTATAAAAACACAAAGTCAACAAATGGACAGTTCTTTGGGTTATGTTTTTAAAACATTAAAAAATGGTCTATAGGAGTCTAAGAAAAATTGCACAGAGGATTCTCTGTTGCTGATTAGCTGTAAAAGGGCAACTTGCAAACATCTTATGATGATGCAAAGTTTTGGCACGTATTTCCTTGTGTGTAATTTGGAAAGCAACAAATGAAAGGAAACAGCCGTGAACTAATAAACTCCAGCTTGGTGGGGGTCAATTTAGGATGATTCACCTTACAATTGAATAAGTAGTTCAAAAGATACAGTGAAGAATAATACAAAATTTTAAAATTTGGCTCACTTCCCTAACCCGGGGCAATAAGCTCGATCTGACCTATATTACCTTTGGTCCTAACATTTTAGTATGATTTGTGTTATTTGTTGAAATTAACTGGTAAATGGCATCATTACTGTTTTTGGAAAGTTACAGTGCAGTCATGACTCAGGAAAAAAAGTGACGCAGAAAACGGATGTCACGGACAGGCCAGGAGTCTGAGAATCAGTATATAATGAAAGAAAATATATACTGAAAGAAGACAGAGGAAAAAACTCCAGGGGGAACTTTCTTCTGAGTTTGCAAATGTCGCCTTTCTCTTTCCAAGATAGCCTCATACTGAGAAAAATCTGAGCATGTGGGGAATAGAGCAGTTTCCTATATTTATGGGATATTTGTATAACAAGGACCAAACATGAGTGACATTTAACATAGGTCATTGAAGGATACCAAGAAAAGTCCCCTTTTGATTATTAAGTAACACCCTGGATATATTCACCCTACTTTTTGTCTGTTTGATTTCCCCTCTATATGAAGGAAATAACTAGTTCTGCTCCCTACCAGGTACAGAGGGAGAAGGGGATAAAGTTTAAATTCCAAACCCATTGCAGCATTGGGAGAAAAAAAATCTGTCTGCATTAATAAGCAACGGACAGTTATATGTGGTCAGAGAATTTTTAAGTTACAAGGAAGTCTAAGCAAGACTTCCTCATTTTACTGGTCAGTTCAGTTTAGATTAGCAAATATATACCATTGACAGGTACCAAAGAGCTTTGATACAACCTAAATATAGCAAGGAGTGAGATCTGTGACAGTGCTTTGGACAGTTTTTAGCTCCAAACAATAGCAGATAACAGGTCTAAATCAAAAAGCAGCACACCAAAATCTAGGCCCACAATTGGGGGAGGACTGGGGAATCAGGCATACATCTTGTGAAGCCAGAGCTGCAGGTTACACAGTGGTGCTGGGTAAATGTGTTGTTTCTACTAAGCCTTAGAGCCACAGTTTGTGAGATCAGCCCAGGGTCCTAGATACTGTTCTCTAAGGCTGCCATGTCCACATCCAGAGCACAGCAGTATTTGTACACATTGAATGGATTGTCCTCTATCCCTGCTTCTTTGTGTCACCAGGTCCTTAGTTAAATTCCCAGGTAGCTGTCTGAATGGCCATTTCACAAGCTTTGCCTCTCCCTTTTCTCCCAGGCTGGCCAGGACAGTGAGTCACCGCATTTCAGCTGCCATGTTGATTCCCATCATGGAACTGTGACGGGTGAAACAGATTTTAAAGTTATTCCACATACTACAGACTCTTAGTTTAACTATTGAGTGGAATGACTACTTTTTTCTTCGCATTCTTACAGTTTCTCCTCCTTTTTCTCTTATTTATTTCCAAGATGGTAACTGAGTTAAAGAAAACATATAAAATCATGTTTTGTTAAAAAAGGAGACGTGAGTCCCAAGATGACTTTGGGTCCTGGATGTTTACCTGGTCTGATTTGATTCTGACTTTCGATCAGGTCTTTTGGGAACATTATACAAGTATAATGTCTGTTGATGAATGATTGTTTCCATTTTTCTCAAGTCATGTAGTGTAGTCTCTTTGTGTTAAACCTTGGTCTCTGCAGATGGACTAAAGCTCTTTGTTTTCTCAGCATCTTGATATTCCATACTTAAAGATATGGATACAGTGAGTCCCTGATGAGCTCCCCCAAGTGGGTACAGGAGACAGTGATGCAGGCTGTGTGACTGAACATTGAGGCCTGTTTCATCTATACTGACTTTCAGGACCTACCAGAACATTTCTCCTGAAGCCCCCTAGAGTCCCACTCTACCTCTGACTTTCTTCTTTCCACCCATGGGAGGAGAAGGAACTGAATTTCAATACTCATTTTCTATCTGTCAAAAAATATCATATGTTCATATACTAGTTATTTTTTACATACAATAAATCTCATGGCTGTTGTCGGCCATGCTCTCAGAGGACAAATAAAAACATCTTGAAGTCAGAAAAGATTTTCTTAAGAAAAGAACACTGAGGTATGTGTTCAGAATGAACTTTGTGCCCAATTTTGGATAGATTGTGTTCATACAGTCCTTATGACATAATAAAGGAGAGTAGGGAAGACTTCCAGACAATAACCCTGACCCTGTGTCTGTGACACACAGAATCTCATTGCCTGTCAGCAGGATCTAGTAGACTCACTTCCTCTACAGTGACTGATAACTGAAATGTGTGAGGACAGAGAGAGCCCACAAAGGCAGAGGTGTGAGGAAGTAACAACTGCTGAGAGAATTCCTTCCAAGGGTGGAAGAGATCAACTCCCAGTCCATAGATTAACCACACCCGGTTGTTAATAGATAACTATTTAAAGGAGTCCAAAGTACAGAATTTCAGCCGCAGAGATGAGAGATTAGATTATAAGGGAAGTAAACCAGAAAGTGAGCTGGAAGGACAATCACCAGTGATAGAGGGAAGCAGGGCTGAGACTAAAAGATACAGACTTGGAACTAGAGGCTGTTAGAAAGCCAAGTGCAACAGTATGTGATAAACAGTGAGAAAATTAATCTAATCTAGAGCTTTCCTTGTAAATGCTGTCAGTTGCTAAACTGATAAATTTAATACCTAACCTTTCTGCAAATAAAGGTTGAGGAAGTCATATCAAATTAGACAACAGGGAATTTCACTAACCGTATTCCTTCCAGGCAAATGTTTTCTGGGAGAGAGAGATGCCAGTAAACATCAATGCTCAGCTTAGAGTGAATATCTATGTTATTTCATTCACTGATTATTTATCTGAGAGAAGTGAGAATAAAAAAATGTCTTGCCTTCAAATATGAAGGTAAGGTTGCATGTTTGTATACACATACGAAACAGTGAAACGGTATAAAATGTGTTATGAAAAGACTAGATGAACTATTGTGTTATTTTTAGATGGGAAAGAATAATTCAGATTTGGGCAGTCTTGGGAGGGCTTCTTGGGGACAAGTATTTTTCTACTGAGTGGAAAGAAAGGAATAATCTGAATATTTAAATGTGGGCAAAGACTATTTCTGAGGGAAGAAATAGAGGGGAGAAAAAAATCTGTAGGGTTTGGGGAAATAGCCATTTTTTTTTGGAAGGAATGTAAATGACATAAAGGAACTTTAGGTTCTAGTCAGAAGACTGAGGGACTGGTGACAAGAAAAATAGAATGGCAAGATTTGGCTTACAAGATAACCCAAGAAAAACAACAACAGAATGCTGGGTGAGTTAAATAGCTTGGGCAGCATGGAGGGGTTGGCATGTCGAAAGGAGGGAGAGAACAAGTAGAAAAGGGAAAAGACATTTCTGCTTTGTCACCATTCTGCATCTGCTAGCTTTAGATGAATACTCCCATTATAGTTTTTGGGCCCAGCCCAAGTCAGGATTTTGGTCTATCTAACAGGAAATAAAAGACTAGAGAAAGAAGCTGTGTGTTCAAATGGAGGAAACACATGTCTTCATTTTGGGTCTGTTTGTTTTTAACAGCATTTTGATGTTGCAAAGTGAAACGATTACTGTGACTTTCATTTTACTCAAGTTTTACATTTTACTCCTCCTTTTCCCCTTCCAATTTTCTGGCTTTTGAATTTTGAATAACAAGAAATAATGCTAAGTTGTGCAGAAGCAAAACACAGAATTAGGAACTGAGAAGGAAAATGGAAGGGAAATCAACTCTCCTCCCACCAGCTTGCCCACATCTAAAAGTAATTTAAAACCTTTAGGACATTTAGATCAGGGGTCAAAGGCTATCTGTAGCACCTCTGAGTGTTTACAGTGTGATGTAGGAGGATATCTAAGGCTATTAGGCCTCACCCAGGAAGTTTCATTCACCTGCTCCACAAAGGAGAGGCATCCTAGTTTTGAATCATGGGAAGAAAATCCAGTGTGTCAGGTTCCACAGCTGCGTGACCATTTGTTTGTATGAAGATTCTTGCCAACACTGAGGGTGTCTTCTTACACCTTGGCAAACATCAAACCACTTTTATTGCCTTTTATAGATATAGGTCCACAGGGACAATTTGTTCTTAGATCTGCATACCTGGTTTTTTTTTTTTTTAATTATCGTTTTGCCTTTCCAGCTACTTACTCTTTCTTCCTATAGAGAAACTGCTGCTATCTGCCTTCCTGGTTTCAGGTGAGGAGTCTGAATTGTGGGTATTGTAGTCTCTGGCCTTTGGAGTTTCTGGTTGGGCATCTTGGCGCCACACTGGGAGGACTTCAGGTCCCAGCTGACTCCCTAAGCAGCAGTTCATGTGAGGCACACAGAACAAGGCAAGCTTGGAGAGAGTCTTTGGTGCTGGTGGAGTGACTTCCATTCAATAAGATAATGTTCCTGAACTGAAACAGCTGGGGTTCATTTCCACAACTGTAAGTGTTGTTTTGAATAATTAATATACTGGGGAAGTAGATTTAAAAAGTGCCAAAAGGTACAAACTTTCAGTTATAGAATAAAAAAGACCTGGGCTGTAATGTACACATGGTGAGTGTAGTCAATGATACTGTTCTGTGTATTTGAAAGTTATTAAGAGAGTAGACCTTAAAAGTTCTCATCACAAGAAAAATCATTTGCAACTGTGTGATGATGGATATTAACTACTGTGGTGATCATTTCACAATTTATATAAATTGAATTATTATGTGGTGCACATGAAACTAATATAATGTTCTATATAAATTGTACCTCAATAAGAATTAATAAACTTTCTACTAGTGATATATACTATCATTAGGAGATTGTGTCATTTCCAACACAGCTGAACAAGTGAAGTGCTGCTTTCTTGAACCCTGCTTGGAAAGGAAAAAGGAAAGGTAACTGATATTACCTTTGTAATATCACCTTTGTGAGTTTAAGGGACATGGCTTAGAATAAACTTAGAATAGCATACCTTGAGGCATGATATCCAATAAAATAGATTGAAGGAAGATGTGCCACACAAAGTCAAATACCAAAACATCACTCTGATGTGCTTCAAGTTTGTAGATGCCAGAAAACCTCTGAAAATTTTAAATACTTCAAAAATCAACCAGGTGTGTTAAAAAGACTGTGAGCAGTAAAGTTGGGTAAAGCTGGTTTTGGTGGTTCCCACTGCTTATTCAAGATGTGACCTTTGGCAAGATGTTTCGCCCCTTGAATTCCAGTTTCCTCAGTACTGAAGTTGGCATTAACCCTACATCTCTGAGCTAATAAAATGAAATTAGTGTATTGCAGTAAGAGATGTAGAATATAACTGATACTTCTCCCTAATTATTCAGCATGTTCCAATTACACTTGAAAAACAGATTAATAAGAAAACATTATACGACTTCTATTATATGTGGTATCCAGTAGTCAAACTCAGTGAAACAGTGACGGGGCTGGAAGTTTCCAGGGACTAGCAGGAGGGGGAAATAAGAAATGTTTAATGGTATATAGTTTCAGTTCTGCAATTTGAAAACATTCCGGAGATTGACTGCACAAAAAACATAAGTATACTTAACACTAAAAGTACATTGAAAAATAGCTAAGATAGTGAAGTAAAAAAAATAAATTTCCCCACAATTAAAAAAGCAGACCAAAAATCAGGTGTCCATGACTCCTTCAAAAATACTTCAGACCATTTTTGCCAGAGCATCTTTCAGAGAGCCTAATTTTAGGGTTGGTATTGGACCACCTATGTTATTGTCTGGGTTTTACATAACAATTAGTTGCAATAATGATGCATGTATGGTATATTCTGGAAGTTATCTCTGATGTCACTGAGATGTTTTTATACCCTTCTTAAATAATTACATGATTATCTGCAATTAATTATGTAATTTTTATGAAATTATTGTTAGTGAGGTTACATTGGTTTGTAATACTGTCTGTGTTTTAGGGATATAATTTCATACCTCTTCATATAGCTTTTGCTCATCGATTCCCCCTTTATAATATTGATTTTTAATATGATTTCATGAGTACTATAAGAATCTAGGAATTATGCTGTCATAATTGTTAGTTAAAACTTATTTGAAAATTTTACCTGCAATGCAAATATATAATTTACTGTTTTCTCACTTTTTCATTATATTTTTAAGATTTATTTTTATTTGTTTATGCCTACAAGAACTGGGGTATAAAAATAAAGATGCAGGGGGTGAGAGGATTCTCCAGAGACAGATTGAGAAGCAGAACAAGAGGAACAGTAGGACTGAAATACACTGCTGAGGGGAGCAGTGAGCTAGACAGGAGAGGTCTGCTGTGCCATGTGGTTCAGCTCTCTGGTTGGGGATGGAACTCATGCTGCAGTGGCTGGTGATAACTTGATAGCACTGAGACCTAAAGCCCATGCCACCAGAGAGGCCCATGGAAACATATATATATATTTTTTAAAGATTTATTTATTTGTACATACAGAACTGGGGTACAGGCCAGAGGCTCAGGGTGGCGAGAAGCTTCACCAGAGACAGAGTGGGGAGCAGAACAGGCAGATCCACGAAGTACACTGCTGAGGGGAGCAGCGGGCGGGTCAGGAGAGGTCTGCCACGCCATGTGGCCACCTCCGGGGCAGGCGGGAATCGAACTCATGCGGAAGTGGCTTTAGCGTCTCAGTTCAGTGCTTTAACCTGCTGCGCCACCAGGGAGGGCTGGAAACATATTTTTAATGTGTCTGTATCTTAGCAGTAATAAAGACAGGAGCTGTTAAAGACCATCTTATCTCACCACTGTTAATTAATTTGGAAGGCAAAAGACAATTTGGAATTATTTTAAAATAATTCCTGTTATTGTTAAATTTTTCAAAAAGCATTTCTTAAAAGGCTACAAGTGTGCTTAGATGTCCATTAAGACTAAGTATTTGATGATAGCTGAAGGTAATAATAACCAGTATTTGTGATAGGTGTGCAAAGTTTTGCATGTCATATGTCATATAAATGTGAATCCTTCAGGAACTACGCCAGCAAGCCCACGGTAGCCTCAGAATGAAAACAAAGAAGGAAAGCTGCAGAAGCATCTGATAAATACACTATAGTACTTAAAATGGCGATGCTGCTTTTTGAGGATGAATGTCATTTGTGGACTGTATTCTGTTGGTAGTGTTCTTTATTCCTTTAACAATTACTTCAGGAAGTCCTCCGTGTTTTCTTCCTGGGTTAGGCCTTAGGGTTAAAGAACATTCAGATATAGCCCTTGAGGGGATCTTGGTTTCCTAGAAGAGATCCGTGCTCATAAATTCCCTGAAGGAATGACGTACTGCATTCAGTATATCATTCAATCATGTCATTTGTGATATTCCTCTTCATTAATTACTCTCCTTAGAAAGTGTGATAAATCTTTGCTTGAACTGTAATCACTGGACACCAACAACAATAATGTATATTAGTCAATCAAAGCACAGTGTAGTGACTTCCTAAAACACAGAAGAGACATGTATCCAGAATGTCAGAAATTGGCTGAAAATCAAAGTGTACTGTGGGACGTGGTGGAGCCTTAACCAGTCCTGGAGGGATGTTAGTTGAAATAGTGAGAAAAAGGTGAAAAGAGTATCTCATCTAAGTAACATTTCCCAAATTTTGTGCGGATGAAATGGTTTAGACTATGTATGGGCTACACAGTCAATAACACTAAGGTATACAGTGGGAATGCCAGTGTGTTTTTTAAATTACTTTCAATTCTTCAAAGGAAAAGTTTTGTGGTTTCTATGACTTTAAAATTCTTCTAACACTTGTTTAATTATCCTTTATAATGTTAATGGAGTAAGTAATAGTCTCACTGATTTTAGCAGCCAAAATGTGTTTATAATTTAATATCTTTCAGAATAAATGGTTGGTTCTAATTCTTGAATATTGTGAATACTACTGCTACTTTCCTGAGTTAATATCATCATGGTTTCCCTGCTTGGTTCATTCCTTCCCTGTTTTCTTCAGGTGTTTCATCTATGATTTCTGTTTACTTAACTGTGCCCCACAATTTTCTTACTCTTTTTATCCTTGTGAATTTTTAAAAATTGTATTGTTCTTATTGAGGTGGTGTCGGTTTGCAACACTGTATGTAATTTAAGGGTATAGGCACGCACCTCTTCAGAGGCATGTTACTACACCATGCTCACCGCCAAAACACCAATAAGTCCTCCACCAGAGGTCACTGGATTCCCTCCTCCCCACCTCTTCCTCTAGTAACCTTTATCTTGCAGTAAGATTTATAAGGTTTGTTTTAGCTTTGTTTTGTGTATTCCTTTGATTTGTTTTTTTATGTTTTACATGTGAGTGAAACCATCCAATATTTATCATTCTCTTTCTAACTTATGTTGCTTAGAGTAATTTGTTGCAGTTCCATATACCTTGTCACAGATCGTAAGATATTTTGCTTTTTTAGCTTGACTCCAAGGGGACTTGCGTGCCAAACCTGGGACCATTAAGAAGCTTCGAAGATGAGCAATGAATTGGGTTCTCTCTGCTTCTCTTCACTCACATGACCACTTTCCTAGTTCAGCACCCTGTCATTTTTTCCTTGCCTTTAGTTCTATTCTACCGTTTACTGTGCATTTTTCTTAAAATACAATGAGAAGGGTATTGCCATTTCCATAATTTACTCTCTTCTATATCTTCTTTCTTTTAGGCTAAAGCTCCAAATTCTCCATGGTTTTTCATCATGTCACTTAGGACAGCACACTGCTGCTGATCTTTCCCTCTTGCCAATTACACAGTCCTGCTACCTCTGCCCCACCTTACTGCTTCAGGGCCCCACCTTCCTGAGCTAGGTGTTGCTTCCAGAATGAGCCATTCTCATTCCTGTTTCCACATTCTGTATGTCCTTCTCTTTTTTCCTGAAGGACTTGTTGCCTTTCTTCTCCTTCTAAGCTTGTCTGAAACTGACAGTTGGACTCCGATAGTAACTTCTAGAACCCACTTCATAAACTACATGATACCATGGAGCAGACAACCTGAAGGTCCTTTCCTGCACCTTGTATAGCATGATCCACATTCATTATTCTCCAATTTTAATTACAGATTGTATCAACCTTCCTGTGGGTCTAAGTAATGTCTATCAAGATTGTCTTTTTGTTTGAGTCATCAGTTCAAACAACATGGTGCTGCTCCTCTCTCTCAAATATACATGGATTTTTAATCAAGAAACATAGACATAAATTCTATTTTACCAAGTAATACCCAGAAATCTTTGAAGACTTTAAAAAAGAGAGATAATCAACTGCTTGAATAGACTTAGACTAACACTTCCCTGGGTGTAGAGTGATACTAAAACATTCAACAATAGGCATGATGTAGTCACTAACTTATTAAAAAGGATGCTGCCTAGTACATAGAACCTGAATGTTCTTGTGGAATATCCAGTCTGCCTTGGAACAGAGGATTAATGTAAAAACCTTGCCTGGCTTTATGAATTTACACTG